CGACAATTTAAAAACTTGTAATTCTTAATTTACGAAAATACGGGCGAAAAATACAGCTGTCAACTTAGTGTTCAACCAGAAAACAAATTAGAAGTCGTTTGAACCACTGCTTTCATTAACATACTTACCGGATAATTTGATACAACGTCTGACAGTACCAGAAATTTGCAAATTATTTAACATTAGCTGCTGTATTTGGTAAATGCACCTTTGATATGAAAAATGATAAGTGGCGCTAATAACTAATAATAATATGGGCGGAACTGAAGTCTGAAGGCGCAAAACCACCATAAATCTACATGAGGTTTAAAAAAACGTGTGACATAATTCAACGTTTAATGTTTATACTTTTTTATAATACAAAGCAAAATAAAAAATTAATATTTTAAGTAATTTATATCGTGGAAATATTGTAAACACTAAACATAATATACAATGGGCTGTTTATTTTTGTTCTGGTGCGATTTTTTTTTTCTAAAAAAATGCTCTTATTTTATTATTCGTGTAGTAAATGTATAGATGTTAAATCATGGCCGAATGTTACTCCATAACGCCAAAATATTTAAAAAAGTTCACCTTCTCTTTAAATCAAGAATGACGCCCAATAAATGTACATTTTATCAATTTAAAATTACGGCAATAAATAACTTTACAAAAATAAGTGAGTTAGTTCCAAATAGCTGTTTAAAAAGTTGATGAAATCGTTCGTTATCATTCAAATTTTAGTAGAACTTAAAAAATCAAAAAAGGTTGCCATTTAGAATTGTGAATTATTGTCAAACAGTAATAACACAGGCCATTCAAACGTTTTAAATTATTTATGGGGCTACTGAAATACGTTTAAAATTGTATTTTTACAATTTGTTTTTAACAATTAATTTTATACTTTAAAGCCTGGGGGTGCTATTTTCGTGTATCGATTGGATACAGCGGTAATTTATGTATATGTACATACTACAATAACGTGATAAACAACAGGGTTATCAAATTTTGGACTCGCAGTAGAGTTTAAAACCGACGTGTTACGGTGCGTATACCTATATTTAATATATACACTGCGTTGTTTGTCTGGTTTGTATGTATATAGTAAAGAGCTGATGCAGCCCAAGCAGGAATTAGCAGAGCATACCCTGGTTATTATTCACGATATGTTATCTGAGGGGACTGTAATACCGGCCGTCGTTGTTAGGGCCCCAAAGGGATTTGCTACTGGACTGCGTGTGCGGAGGGACGCGGCGGATAGAGGCTGATGTCCGAACGGCGGGATCCTTGAGAAGGGTACTTTGGCCGGGCCGCCGTCTTACATGCATATGGACAAGGCGAACGGACACAACAATGAGAAAGAGACGGCGAGGAAGTGAAATGCAAATTACTGCGACGCGAGCGGCTGAGGTGGCGTTCGTACACATCTATCGTTGTAAATACACACTCTCCTACACACACACACACACACACACACACACACACCAAAGACCCGACTGATCCCTTTTCCGTCTCCTTCAGCGGCCACCGCTACCTCACAAAGCTTCCTCTATACCGATACCGCCGTCCGTTGTACCCGTATTGATTTATACATTGTAGTAGACACATACACACGCACACAGTCGGACAACGAGGATGAGATGCCTTCGAGGAGATAATTATTATTGTTCGACTGTGTGTCCTTACGGTGTTTGCGTCCTTTCCTTTATACACAACCGCCGTTTCTAACCCCCGCCCCCGCCCATCACTGTCGACCATTCAAAGTATTGTCCGAAACAAGACCGACCGCACGGTTTCTCCTCAACGCAGAGTAAGTATATTTAAATATATAACATTGATCTTCATAAGGCGATAAAATTTAAGTACTGGACGGTCTTGAAAGTTTCAAATTTTATTTTAAAACATTTTGTATTTAACACTGGTCAGTATACATTCGATATTTTTGTCTTAATTCGATTTTTCTAATTAAAATTATTGTTGTTGTTAGTTTGGCTTCGAGTCGGAGCTGAGAAGGTCAATTTTCAGCTCATCCGCTTATACTACCCACGATAATTTTGTGACAATAGAATTATCAATGATAAGTTTTTATATTTTTTGTATTTTTGTGTGTTTATTTGGTTACTGTCCATATTTGTCGTATTTTTGGACCAGCCTGCCAAGTGACTCAACGTAATCTGTAACATCCCCCACGCACATATTGTCTACTCTTTTATTACTATTAATTACGTTCAACCATAATAGCCTTCCTCTATAAGTCTTTCGTTAGACATTAATTTATTTTACTGTCTTTTCTCTTTGTTGACCCTTTATTGTTTCATTCCTCATTATATGCACAACCCAACTAGATTTGTCCTCAATCAATGATTTATATAAGTGATAAAATGATGATTAAACGCTAAAAAGTATTTTGCATCCAAAATATCGTTGCTAAAACGTTACCAAATGTATACATCAAATCAGTACTTAAATTTCTTTAAGGCTTAAAGCACACGAGTGTCATGTCCATTTTTTTTCAAAATCGTGATTTTTAGTGTCCCTGAATTTGTGATAAAAAAACTGAATCGAATAAACACCAGTGATATGTCCTTTGTACATATTTTTTTAAGAGCTCAAGAGTTAAATTCTATACCTCAAAACCATGTAAAGTGGACTACTAAAAGTGCTAACAAAGTGTGCTACAAAGCACACTTGTGTGTGAACATTATTATTCTTATTTTTTAGAAGTTATAGCGAGTCAGCTATACTAGCAAAACACGTTCGGGTTTCTCGATTATAGATGGGAAGGAGTTTTATCTCAACAGTTGAATTTTAAAATTACAATTTCTGATCGATTGATATGTGAAGACATTGTTCTAGAGACACCGTTTGGAAGAATGGCCGACTACAAATGACTTCCCAAGTAAAGGATCAATAAAAGTGTCGACTCGATATGACCATTTTTCTCGAAGTTATAGCGAGCTTAAGTTTGAATTTGAACAATCAACAAAAACTACGGAATAAAAAAATTAACGACAGCTAATTTTTTATTTTTCAGTATGTTATAACTTATAAATTAGATGCCGATTAATCAAACAGACGTCCGGTTTTAGTAAAATCAGCACATATTACTAATCACTGCCTGAGAAATGAGAATGAAAAAAGTCTGTCATGGTTTTGAAAATGTCCAGGATCACGTATGAATATTTAATAAACATCACAATATCAATAGTCAATACAATAAGTAAAAAAATAACATTTTGTGATAAATATCTTTAAAATGTTGACCTCTTAGTTGTATAATATAAGTGGTTTCTTATAAATTAATAAAATTCAGTTGAATTTCAGATAAGACTATAGTTCATTCACAAATTTAACCAAAACTAAAATTACAATAAGTGTTTTTTGCATTTAAAATTAGTCCGAGTTAATTTTCTTAAGGGTAAAGTCTATCCACACTACTAGTTACATCTACCCTACCAATTTTTAACCCTTAAAATATCGCTGAGAGGAAAGTGACTTCCTGCATGCTCAAACCCATAAATACTTCGGTTATAGTCCAGAAACGCAGTTGGGTCACTATTAATCACTTTGATGAAAAAACTATCACAGTATAAACACACTCTGAAGAAGAAAATCATAGTTTAGAGATTAGACAATTAAACAAAATATTATAATTATAATGTCAATTTTTTCAGTGGAGTCTAAAAATACATAATAATCTATACCCATAATATTACTATGTGTACATAATGTGTATGATATGATATATGTCTATAATAATGTGTAAATACCTAATACCTATATATAATAAAGTATACTTCAATCAAACTAAATGTTTAAACCTTTTATATCTAAAGATTCAAAATTAATAATACATTTTTTCTTGTGATTTTATCATTTTCAAAATGGCTTTTGTTGGACTACGTCGTGCCCTATCCTTAAAGCCGCTGACTATCATTATGCTTCATCTTCTTTGTCTGGTGCATTTAAGAACAATTATACTAATATTCTGCATCCACAGTGTCCGGGGTCTTCTACGCCCTCATTTAGCTTCAATCGTTCCTTTTAAGGTAAGGTTCAGGTATTTTATATTATTTGACTTGCAAGATATACACGTAGTATGTTAGTATATATACTTTTCCTGAGCTGATAATTTGTTATTATTTATTTTAAGACATGCTGGTTTGTAACATTATATATTCATGGATTTGGTTGGGCTAGTTTCTTTAATCTTTATGTAAATACTTGTAATTGCTATAAGTTATTATTTCTCCGCTACGTTATATTTACTTTTAATTAAGATTTAAGCCTCTCTATCACATAACACCGCGCCAAATTGTAATTTTAGTGGTTATCTAGATTTGTAAAATGGTATAGACTGCGGAGGAGCTAACTTTGACCCCTTTCTCCCCAAAATACTTTCCAAATAGATTTTTTAAATGACGTAGTATATTTTACACATATTTTGTACAGCTAGAATTATTTATTCATACTATGGGCTTTGATACCACGCAACAAGCAGATTATAGAAAAACCAATACAGTCACAGATTAACATTGAAGCTAAAATCAATTTGAGCTCTTATATAAAGTGTTGTGTCTGAAGTGGTTTTATCGGCCACTTTTAAGCAAATCGTCTGTCACTAAGTGCGGTTTCCATTAGATATATTGGTACCTAATTTATAACATTAAATTATTTATTATTACTTGTATTGGGATATTATTATTTAACAAAAGAAAAAATAATAATAAAACAGAAAACTAGGAAATCTGTTCTATCATTGTAATAACTATTCTATAATAACATTTTGGATAATGGATATTATTATCACCTGTAATTATTGCAATAGTCGTTAGAGATTTTTTTAAATCAACACTATCTATAATGAAATGACGGTAACTGAACGTTAGAAAATACTTTTTACACTTACTACTAGATGTCTCTGTCTAATTAAATATGTGTTATCGTTTTTTTAATAAACGTTATCAGCTGTAATAATGTTATCAGCAACAAGTATTGAGTACAAACATTAATATTTAGTATTATCAATTTTTTACAAAAGGCAATAATTTCAGTTCTATTCTTTTTGTGATGCATTTGTATAATTTCCATTTTTCTAATGTAAATCATCTATTGATTTAACAGACAACGTACACCCACATTTATAAATCAGAATACAATTATGACTTAATTTAATTTAACAGCTTAATGCGAATCATGGGCTGTGCATGTGAAAAGCAAAATGTCACTATACAGGATAACAAGTACCATGTCATAGACCAAATCGGACAAGGGTAATTTATACCAATATCAATTATTATATTATAAACATATAATTTCTTCATCTTAAACTTTCAGCTTTTGAAAATAAATCAACAGTTAGAAAAATAATATTGTTTTAACATGTCACTTCAGTGTTTACAAAAAGCTATGTTTATTATAAAAACCCCAAACCATTTAAGATATTTAGGCTATGATTTGGATAAACATAAATAAACTTATATTTTTGGTAAATACCCACAGTTTGCTGATTTTAAAAACCCACTGAATTTTTATCGAGTTAGATGTTTGCCAACTCCATTGTCTGTTGTGTTAAGTAATGCATATTTATTTATGTTATGTCTAAAATAGCTGTAGGTGTAAGAACCAGTTATTTTAACTTTTCTGTGAATAACAATATTATTACTTATTAATTTTTATATTTTTTAGTGGTTTTAGTTCAGTATTCCTTGTTAAAAACTCTAACAAAGTGGAATATGTACTAAAATGTATTTACTGCCATGATGAGGGTGATCGAGAAAAAGCTTGGAATGAGGCTCACCTACATAAACTTTTTCAAAACAGCTATGATGATCAGTATATAATCAAATTAATGGGATGTAAAATGCTTGAAAAATCTACAGAGTTTTCAAAAACACCTACCGATACATTTCTCATGTTGTTACCATATTATAAGGTATTTAATTATTTGTTTATTGTGTATTACTTATAAATAATTATAAGTTTAAACCACCTTTTTCTTTTTTCAGAGTGGATCTCTCCTTGATCGTTTAACGTTATTTCCTAATCAAACAAATTTAAAACAAATTGTGCAATATTTTCGTAATATTTGTTTGGGTATAAAAGTATTTCATGATATGTCTTATGCACACAGAGACATAAAACCTGCTAATATATTATTTAATAACAACAATGAACCAATCATTATAGATTTAGGTGAATATATTTTGGCTGTATTGTTTTCTAACAGTTTTATACTACTCCTGAACTAATTTTTTTTAAGGATCTGCTGCCCCTGCCAAAATAACAATATCTTCACAAAAAGAAGCACAAAAACTACTCGATGAAGTAAGTGAAAGGTGTTCAATGACATACAGAGCTCCGGAATTGTTCAATATTGACATAGATTCTGTAATTGATGAAAGGATAGATATTTGGGTAAAAATTAAATGTTTTATTTAATAAAAATTAAAATCCTATTTAATTGTATTTGTATTGTTTTATTGTATCATTAAATAAATATAAACTTAGTTCATCTTAACACATTTGCTGCGACAGTCGGATAACCATCAAACTAACATTTTAATAGTGCGCCCTGTCAGTAATAACCGACATTAGGTTTATTCTATTAAATGTAAAGTGGGTAAAATTGTATTTTTATATACTATTTTCTACTATTTTTATCAATTTTATGTCCCATTAAACAAAGTTCATCTATTTTTTGTTACTGTCCTTGATTCGATGCTTTACTAGTTTGAAATACGATCGTTCACCCCCTTGCTCAGCTGTTGTAGTCTGAATATTTGGCCCGTTTTAACCATTTCAAACTAATTTATGGAGAGTCCCCATTGAAATTCCACCAAACCCAAAATAAAAACCATCCCAATATATTTATATTTATTATTTTTAATATTCATGTCTAAGTAAGAAAGAGTGCTGAGGCTGGTAACCACTATTTAGTATAAAAAATTATTTATTAAACTATAGTTTAAAAAAATATATTATCCATGGGGATTTACATAGTTAATAAATGCTTTAAGTAAAATATATCATCACCATCATCATGTAGCTTAACGGGCCATGAAGGCCCAACGCTGCCATCGTGAGATGGTTTCTTGATGAATTCGCTTCCGGGACGGGTCGTCAATCCGTCGCCGGAGAGGGGGATGGCGGTTCCTTTTTACCGGACGATTGCTCGCCCAGCAAACGGAGCGCCTGTGACCTAGCGTCGAACCGGCGCTAACACACTGCCGCCTTACCCACTCGGCCACTCCTCCTCATAAGTAAAATATATATTTAATAAAAATGAATTACATATATACATATTTACTAACAATATAATAGCATTTAAAAGAGAAAAAGAGCTAGAGAAGTATATAATTTACATAAAATGTATTGAAGTATTTACTAACTTGATAATCTTCGGATGTATCTATGTCTTTGATTTGTTGCTGAAGTATTGGACTCTGCAATGAATCCAAAATATATGCTTCCGAAAATGATCAAGTTAAAAAGAAGTTATTGTTTCATTGATTATGTGTGAACCATTTGGAGTAATTATTTAAATATGTTTAATTTAATTATTTTGGTACTGATTTAATTGGTTTATAGTCTTTAGGATGTTTGCTATACGCCATGCTCTACAAAAAATCGCCTTTTGACTTGGTGTATGAACGTGGGGATTCCGTTGCATTGGCTGTGATTAGTGGGAAAATAAATTTTCCATCATATTCTTGTGAAGTAAATTAATATATTTAGTAAATAGTGTATATATATTGTTACTGTATAAAACCATTTTACAGAGTTTTAACAATCTCATAATGAAAATGCTTACAACAGATCACCTCAAGAGGCCAAATATCGATAATGTTTTAGAATATCTTACCATTTTAGACGACTCCTTAAACAAAGATGCTATCAACCAAAACTTCACTTCACAAAAATATTTGTTTTGAAGACCATTTATAGTTTTTACATCATACAACTAAATTCATGTGCTGCTACATTGTATGCAAATTGTATTTAGGAATAACTTATTATTTTTTTTATATAACGATACTAAAATAATAACAATATATATATTTTTTTTTTACTCATTGTTTATATTTTCCACAAAAAGTGTGTTTAATATTTTATATACTTAAGTGTGTTGATGTAATTCTATACTATATTCAACAAGAATGAATCGCCACAAAAAACAAAATGTGTTACTCCTGGTTACCTTGGTACAACATGTAGTAACGTTTTTTTAGTTTTTACATTAGTACATTCTTATGATGAATATATAGTATGTATATTATATGTTTTACTTAAAACTAAAGGTAAGAATTATTATGATCATTATTATGATCTTATAAAACTTTCCGTATAACATTTTCTTAATGCAACATTTTTAGATTTAGGAATCAACTAAAAAAAAAAATCATATAATAACTATGGTCTATGATAAACATTTTACATTAAATTCAATTATCTTCTTTACAAACTATGCCTAGGTACTTCAAAAGGGTTTTTGTGCAAAAATAATACAGTTTTTCATTTTAACACAAAATTAAAAAACTTGTACATAGTACCACAAACGACCCAATAACTAAAGTGCTGACTATTTCAAAATACAATACCTATTAGTATGTTTGTAAAATACCTACATCATTGACCTAAATGTTGAGGACACTGGACATAGGTAATATATGATAAATTGAATAGATATTATTATAGGTAAATTTACTATTTGCTGATGTAGAAAGTAGATTCCCTTTTTGTTTTATCATGTTTTATATACATGAACAAAATTTTAAAAATGTTCCTATAATATCCTAGTACCTACATAGTATAAAAATAATCAATATACATTGAAATGAGGAAAATTTATTTTTACCTTCCAAATTAGGTGTTGAATGTTAGTTAATAGAAATTAAATGTGAACTATATCAGACTACAATTAAATATAAGTTGAATGTACAATGGAAATAAAGAGCTATAATCATCCCTAATTTTAAACATTTAATCAATGATACCCAATAAGGCTTTTTTGCAAGTAAGTTAATTTTTTCATAATATTAGTACTACCCTTACCTTTTCCAGTTTTTCATTCCTATAAACAAGCTAAGTAGATTAATGATTACTCGACTATAATTAATGGGTCAAGGAGTAAACAACTTTACAGCTATTTATCTATAAATTTGTTTATACTTTGATTTTGTAAATAATATGTTATATACTATACTTTCCTATAATTAAAAAAAACATATACTGATATACCTACTATACAAATAAAATATTTTTGAATGTTTCAAACATTTATGTGTTGGAAAACTTTCAAATTTAAGTTTGGTGCTGTAAATAGTTTTACCTCTGGACTCTTTAATTGTCGGCAATTATGATTATAATAATGCTATAATAATGAATTCAATTTTGACAAAATAGAAAGCGGACATATTTAATGGTTAGGTATTGTTTTATAATACATTTTATAAATTGTTATACTACTTATTAATTGTGAGATTATTATTATCAACTACCTATTATTTTTCCCATACAAATAGTAGTTATACGTATATAATATACTTGATACCATCCGTAGCGTAAGCACTTTATTGTGCAATAGGTATGCATTTACCTATCCAATCAATAATTAAAAAGTTGTTAATTAAAAGCTGAGTAACACTCAGATTCACACACATTAATCGTTATCACCCGAGAAAAATACTATTGGTCGTTTATTATTACTTTCGTTTTTAGATAAGTACATACATCGTAGTATATTATGTAAATAACCTATACCTATATGTTAGAATTTAGAAATAGAGGAAAATATTTGAAAATATAGAAACTTTTAGTCAATGTCCAGCCATCAAATTTCTAACCTCAATTTTAGCAACCGCTGACTTTTTATTTTCACTTTTTACTCATAATTCATAAATAATGTGTTTACAAGTTTCAACTTTCAATGTAAAGCTAAGAGAGTATTGTTTTTAATACATTTTTTTTTAATTAAAAAATCACATACACTTCATATGAAGAGCTGCGGGAAAAAAGATCAATGTTAATTTTCTTTGATTCTGAGAAAAACATGTTTTTAATTTCAAAACGTAATACATTTTGCCTGTATGCCTAAACTTCCGGCGGTCGTTATTCTCGACTAATCTGTTTTTTCCCTGGTTCGAGCGCATAAAAGATACTATACGTCAATACAAATAATTTGATACCAAAATATAATTTTCAAGTAACGCTTTTGCAAATTTTTGTAAGTAACGCTAATAAGTAATAACTATAATAACACTGGTCAACAAAAATTCACTTTTTGTGTGTAACATGAAAACTTTTGACTGATTATATTAGGAATAAGGTTTAGACTTTAGTATAATATAATTGATATTAAAATAATTTGGATACGAATAATTTTATTGTAATAAATGTGGGTTCCATCCAAATCATTGGAATTCCAAAAGACGTGATCTTTTTGCCCATTCAGTAAGAAGCCCCCACACATGTAACACAACAGATGTGATGAACCCACACTTTGTCTTTTGTCCGACAGGAATGCCAAAATATAAATTCATATAAAAATACAAATTCTTCATACAATTTTTTTACTGATAGTGTAAAATTTCTCTATCGAGGTTTAAAAGTAATTTCACCACAAATATAACAAAACTTGTCAGCTTCTTATTTATACTTTCTTGACATTATTCAAGAATCACTTAACTCGATAAACATAAAACACAACTACTTTACTGGAAAACAAAACACCTTGATTAATTTTACAAAGGCTGTAATCAAAACTAAGAAACCAATTTTTTACATAATATAGACAACAACATTATCTATGTTCTACCATCGCCCTTTTTTTAATATTTCAACCAGTTAATGAATAATTAATTAATTAAGAAAGGACTTTATTGACTTTTAAAAAAATGATATAGCGTTGGTTCTATTAGGTATATCGAAAAAATACGGATAGATAATTTTGTCATAAATAATATGTATGAATTTCTTTCCTTAACAAAATATGAAGCCTGAGAAAAATTAATTCGCGCAAAGCAGTTTTGAAGGAAACAAATTGTAATTTATCCTATAGAAATGACTGTGATAGTCTGACAAAAAATGGCAATCAACAAAGTATCCTCAGTACTGTAATTATAAGTATGCATTATAGTTCAAACACTAAATTAAAATTTTTCGAAAAGTTGCCTATGCTTTACTCCTTAGAAATGGCCGGTGTGGCGCCCTCTTAATAACTAGTTAATATACCTAATGTGTCCATATTTTCTGTCATTTTTAAATGAATGTAGGGGCGAAATGGGAAAAGCTACTTAGGATCGCGTATTACATATCTATTGAGAGATAAGTTATGCAAAAGAAAGAAGTATATCTTGATAGAATTATGAATTTTAAAGGATAGTTTTTGTGACTTAAAAGTAAATTGAAAGTTTTATTATACGGGCAGTGTTAAAAAGAAATTTAGAAGCACTTGCTTTTGAATAACATAATTACCTCAATCAGCTTTATTTAGTGTTAAAAAAAAAGGTAAATATAGGTACTTAATCTTAATAAACTATAGTTTAACATTCCAGATTGTTTAATTGTACTGCCAGAGAAAACAAAACGTTTTTTAGCATAATTTTCATTAAATTTTTTTTTCGGTCTGCCTAAGTAGTATTAAAAAAAGTCCGAGAGTAGTGGTGACTGGTGGTTGAAGAGTTGTTCAATATTCAAACAACCAATTATTTTCAATGGTTGTGGCCGGCAACGGGCGTCTGGCAAATATTGCCATTTGCCTAACACGGTCATGAAGTTATGGACAGTTTTTGCATCGAATTTGCTAATTAAAAAAATATAGGCATTTTTCCCGAAACGCAGTGTTTTCGTCGTCTGAAAATAAAAACAATATGTCATGTTGCCCCCACTGAGATATACCGATCGTTCATGATAACGACCACAGTGGCCAAATTATCTGCCACATTTTCCATACGGTGGCGTGAGTTGTCGTTGTCCCACTGTTTTTATTCAGCCAGTGCTAGGCTGCCGCCCGCCTTGTCCTGTTAACAGTTACAACGTTATAATATTTGACTCGTCGTTCGTCCGTTTCTTGCATTCATTATCATTTGACATTTTATGTTTTACCTTAATATAAGTACACACACGCATACACTGCGTACGGTAACGTCTATCTATTCGTTTAATCGATTGTAAAAGAGAAAAACATCTCACGATCCATTGGTTTCTCAAAAATCACGTATCCCGATTAAAATCGACCGGTACCATCAACAACGACGTGAGAATCGAACACTTTGATAACGCGCATTTGCAATAATAATTTCCGATTGTAAGTATCCGTTCATTTTTCATTCTCTTGTCATCTGTTTTTACTTAAAATAATGGTAATGATAATACTAATTGGTTCTCTTATAGTGTTCATTGATAAAACATTATATTATTTTTCTGATATACTCATAAAGCCTTTTCGGAGTTGCGTGAGATATCCGAAGTAGGAATAATTGTATTTATATAATCATTTCCTACACATACATTTCATAATATAATACCTGCTTGAGTAATGAAAAATTACTATTATATCTTGTATTCTTTTCAAGACTTGTGCTAGATCTTAAGTCTGAACAATCAAGACCTAGGTTTAAACTAAGAACAATTTTGTAAAATCCTTAGGTATGATGTATTACAGAAGGATCTCAGTGCATTGCCATAGCTGCCCTGCTTATCCAGCACTAAATACCATCAATATGTTATGTGATTAACAACAACAATCTATTACGTATGAAATCACTTGTAATCTGTAAAAAGTTAAATATTGGCAATAAATTAGTAATTAGTAATTAGTAATTTAGAACATATTGTAAAACCTATTGCGATGAATGTTCTAGTCTACTTAGTGGTTTTTTTTAATAATTGAAGGTTTGGTACAAGTACCATACTAATGACCACTATTTTGGTTTCCGTTGTTTTGCATAATATTCAGCTTAAAACCAATCTGTTTTAAGAATCATAACATTTACCTTAGTTATAGAGACTAGGGAGTGTTGGGTACCCAACCGTCAGGGTATAGACGAGATACCTGAACATACACGTATTACATAACATTTGCACATAAGCTTACTTACTATCCTTTAAACTAGTATCAGTATAAACTCGTTAGGCCATTGGCTATTTAAAGAATAGTATCAGGTTCAATTATGGATTAAGTTATATTTTCTTATCCAGATATTTGAAAACGTAATCCCCACAGGAGGTCCTTAAGAATAAGATAGCATAAGATGCTATCTTATATATAGGTGCATAAGATAGCAGTGGCAGGTGAACATTACAGTTTTTACTAGCTCCTTCCCCACACACGCAGTTTGTTAGCTCGGCGATCAAGTATATGTTGCACAGTGATTACGTATGAATCACTTATCTAAGAAAGAGAATGTTACTATTTTCGAAAAATAAATTTTTTGAGGTAAAATATTATGTAGAGTGAACAAACAAGTTGAATATCAAAAGGAACAAGTCAACGCTCTGAAGCCATTAAAATATGCTTTCAAAAATCTTGTTTACATGTGAAAGGGAATAAGTCTAATTTAAAATTATATTAGTTATAGTTAAATTAAAGTTATGATTAAATGTGTCAACAATAAAATTCTTTACAACTACATTTTTTTGTTCAGGGGTGTATTGGCAAATTAACCATTTTTAATTCATTAAATCACTTTTAATTTCTGTTTCACCATGTTTTTCATATTTTATTCAGGAAAAGGAAGAAGTCAGCCTGAAAAATACACAATATGTGTGCCTAAACATCTGAAAAATATATTAAATATTTTTAATGCCAAAACAAAGAGTTTAGGAGTTTTCAGATTTTTAAAATATTTGTAGATAGCAAAAACCATTTTCCCCAACATTTGTTTTTTTTACTTATACCCTTTCTTGAATAAGTGATTCATTTGGCAGGTATTTAAGTTTTTGGAGTCTCAAATTTGTTTTATCCTGCCATGTAGATTAAGGGTGTATATTAGACTATATTAGACTTCAACATATCTAATCTTAGAATAGTATAGTAATAAAGTCCTAGAATTTTTAATTTGTATGAAAACTGATCAATTTTTTATGATTTATAAAAAACAAAGTAAATTTACATCATAGTAGATGTTAAAGAAGCGGAAAACTTTTAACAGTTAACTTGAAGATATATCTTTTGTCCAGTCCATTTATAAGTATTGTTTACTTGCTAGTTTTTTATACTATCGAAAGAGAGGTTTGAAGAGTATTACATTAAATTAAACAATAGACCTTAATTGTGCAAGAAAAATATTTATCATTTTATCATGAATAACTTACGAAATACTTTTTCAAGAATTTTTAGAAGTAATTAACAAAAAATGTTACTTAATCAATATTAAACACTGTTTTTTTTCAAACCTGAAAAAAACGGGTTTTACTCCTCTAACCCGAACACTTAGAAAATATTCAATGCCTTCATCTAATAGTCTTTAAACCACCATCAAACTTATCTAATGGTATGTTCCTTTACCTCACTTTATACCATTTCTTATCTATGAAAATACATGTTAACATTTCCAGACAGTCTGGGTTGGCTGCAAGCTGAAATACAATAGAATTAGACGTGATTCGCAAAACTCAACTAAAATAAGTTCATGCCTATGTATATTGTTAATTAAGATACTGTGCAAGATTTTTAGTAAGCCAAATTTTGGTTTAAAGGTTAATAGCCTTAACCCTAATAAGCCTTAAAAATAATACATTGATCTAAATTAATCAACAATTGCTATAGTGCCAAATTTCTTAAATTTTAAAGTACTCCCTCTAGATAAAAAAGTCTTGGTATAATTTTCTATTTTGACTTAAAGATAACTTAATTTAGACTTAAGTGTTTTCTAGAAAAAACTTATGCTTAAGCACTTATGGTTATATGTAATAAAATAATAATAAAAAACCCTTAACCATTAAAATTATATACTCTCCGCGTATATAATTTTGTGTTTTTTAAATAAACATTAACTTTGCAGCAACCATTTTTCTATAAAAACCACACAAGAAAGCCTAGCAATCAAAAATCGATTAGTCTTTAATATGCCACTTAGTGGCCTGTAAAATATTGGCTTGTTATATTAGTATAAAAACTACAATTTAAAAAAAACTACAATTATAGTCTTTCTGAAACAGAGTTCAGCTACCTAGTTGAAATCTAAATCTAAATATTAACTCTATATGCGTGAATAAAAATATAAATCATTTTTTCTCCTTGACTGGATTTTAATAAAAGTCATGTAGAAATTATCCGCCAGATTATATTTTTAGCTACCTTTCACCAATTTACGCACATTTTTTACTATAAATGACTTACTTTATCAGCAATTTGTATATTTGTTCTTAATTATTAATTAGTTTAAATACTTCAATAAACTACGCTATTAAATAACTATTAATTCATTTAATACTGACCTTTGTAAACGTGTCATACATAAATTATCATTTTTAAAATTCCGTTAGGTCATTTTAATGTTTCTGTAAATTGTTTTATTATTATAATATGTAACGTTCAATTTTGGAAATGATATTTTATATTTGTAGATAATCATAATATTGCATAGAATGTGTTGCTGACGAAAATCGTGTAATTAGTTCACCTTGCGCTGACGCGTGTTAAACACGTAGTAGATATATAATTATAGAGGTTACCAATTTGAATTGTAAAATAAATATTCTTTGCGCGATCCTTGTGTGCACTAATGTTCACTTCATTCAAATCGGCAAACTACTGTAGTAACTGTTTCAAGTCGTACATAAACGTGTACATACATACATCTGAACATTTAGGTTGTACACATATTTAAAAGTTTTAATTTTAATAAATCGATGTTAATTTCTAATTTAGTTTTTTTGAATGGATTATGAATTTGAAGTAAATTTAATATTAACCTATTTAAAATAATTTACCAGTCATAATACTATATTGCAAGGCGTAACATTGTTGGTATTGTTGCACCACCGATCAATGATTCCAAGGCATAATTTACCGTTTTATTGAGTAAAGTGTCTGTTACGGGAGTTACTCTTATTTGTGCTTTGTACAAAAATAGTTTTTAACTTTTATTTACAAATCGATAAAAAGCATGTCAGCCGTGTAATAATTGTGACGCAGTAGTATAAAGCACCGGAACTTGGTTATTTGTACTAAATGAATCAGATTCCTGACCTATTTGTCTTGAACCTATTTTGATTTATAATTTTCTCGTGGTTATAGTTTTTTTTTGCACTGTACTAGAGACTATAAATGGAGAATCCCATATAGTATATTATAATAAATAAAAATAATGCAGTAGGTATTAGGTATAATGTTTGTTTAACATTTTTAAAAATAACAGATGTTTTTACAACGAAAAATTAACAATAATCAATAAAATTACACTGCAAGCATATACTATTAATAACACGGTTAATAACATCAGAATGTAGCATAACAATAATAAAAAGCCTTACATGTTGGGTTCGTAATTTTTGTTGGTCGAATACAGACGTAGGATTTTATTAACAGTCCGAATAAACAAACATGTAGTTCGTCATTGTTGTTCGTAAACCCTTTGTATTTTTTCGGTATCACTCCAACGAATATTTTTTAAACAAAAAAAAATACCTTTCAACTACGTTTCAATTAATACGATCGTAAATTTTTCGTTTATTTTGCTTTAGTCATTGATTTTAATGTATAAGCGATGCTATGACACAAGAACGGTGACCGATTTTTGCGGGATTCCCGCCGTCAACAGAGGTACCCACGTCATACTTTATGGACGGATCCGCCCGGTAAAACTATTACGAGGGTACCACTGTTGACGGCGGGAATCCCATATAAAATCGGTCGCCGTTCTTGTGTATAGCAGCGTTTATATTTTAAAATCAATGCCTTTGTGTAACAAAGACTAACTTTTTGAGTTCTAATTAAACAGACTACCATCAACCATCTACAGCGATCTCAATCGATTCAAATAAAGATCAAATGTAATACAATTTGTGGAGATATTCCAATTTCCATTAAGAAGTTGTATGGTTTTTAGGTATTTTGTGTTCCAAAAGCAGATTAGCTTTTTTCTGGATTTTATTGATACCGCATTCTGTATTAAATGGAGAGTTGTTTTTAATACAGTTTAATTAGTATAAAACTGTTTATGGAAATGTCGCACATGACACTTTTCAGAATTCATCGAGTTGGTTGAATACTCTTGTCGACTAGTCTAAATACTTTTTTTTTTTATTGAATTTTACCGTATACCTTAATATCAGTAAACAGATATTCCTGTGTACAGTTTT